TTTCCACTTTACAAGACGTGCCCTGCCAGAACCTTCCTGGAGATGCATTTACCTAATGAACCTGATTTAGTGTCTGGCCTCTGTTGCCTGCTAATCAAACCTTTCAAACAGAACCGTGGTAATAAGGTATTGTATGGCTTTAATTTGTACGCTTTTTTTTTTTTTTTTTTTTGGTTTGCTTTAGGCCATATTTCTCTGAGTATATGGGGAAAAGATGTAAAAATAAATTCTGTCCAACGGCCATATTACTAATGAGTGACTTGGTGGAGAATGCTGAGTCTGTCACTCAGGTTTTGGTTTTGAGCTCGTGAGTAGAATCTGCTGATAAAACATTTTTGGGTTCACAAGTCTGTATGGGAATAAAAATGGAATCTATGATGTCAGGTAATTAACTTAATCTTATTAAAAATAAACCAAAACATTTTCTCTGAATTATACCCCGCTTAGGAAAGAAAGATTGCCGAGTGCTGAGCTTTGCTGGCAGCAGACTGTGACCCCATTTGCTTCGCATTTACTTACACCAAAAACATAAACAGGGTACCCGGCTTTTCTCAGAGAATGCAAAACAAATTCTTACACTTCTGCTGAATGACATGTGCTGGCTGCCTCTTTGTATGTTGTGTTTTTTTTTTTTTTTTTTTTTTTTTTTTTTTTTTCCAGCTGATATTTTTAGCTTGATGCAGAAGAATCTGTTTACTTCCTAAGTAAGCACAAGGACCACTATTCTTATGATTTCGAGTGCAGAATTGTGCCCATGGACGTGAAGGGCCTGACTCCCACCGGTTTCATTATGGAATGGAATTGGCTGTCATGGAAAAACTGTTTTTACTCTGCACTGGTACCTGGGGCACTTGAAAAAGTTGATACTGATTTTAAAAAGCCTGATATAAATAATGACCTGCACCTCCGAGGAAGTTAACTAGTGAGTGTTCCTTTAACGTGAAGTAGCATAGTGTGTGTGTTCGGTAGTTGAGAGCCTTACGAATACCATGAGGATCTAGACAACAACAGCAGACAAATGCTTCAAGACAAACGAGAACTGTGCGTCAAAGCGCGTACGTGGTCCCTTGAACACAGTAGCCAGATTTTGCTTCCGGTTTTCTCTCTTGCGTCCCACTAAATTAGGGGAGGAGCGCGGGTGTGACCAGCAGCAGCACCTACCGCAGCCCACTCGGGGATGCTCCCTCGCGCACGCCGCCCCTGAAGGGCAAGTACCGGCGTCTACCCTGGGGGTTTTAGGCATCTCGTTTCATTGCCTTTGCTTTGCCAGTTCTCTCTCTTCTCTTCTGCGTGCTCCTCTCTGTTACATCTATGAAGCCTGAGCACTAGGGGAACGTATCTGTGCGCCAAGGCCGCTTCCTCCTCCTCCTCTTCCTCCTCCAGCTCCTATGTCCAAAGCCCACCTTAGCTGGTTTTCTCACCTCCCGATGATCCTCTTGTCGAGTTTCCTCACAGTGAGGCCAGTTGCACTCTCTTGGACATTCAGACCAAGCCTAACAGGGGTGTATCCGTGCCTTGATGCTTAACCCATCATTTGCGTGGCTTGGTGGTGATGTGCCCGTGGAGGATTATACGAGAAAATACCCAGTGGGGAGGAGAACCTCGAACACTGATAAACAGAGCTGGGTTGTGAGCTGACTGGTCCTTTTCCCTCCCTTTTCCACATGTCTCTGACACTTGCAGGTACATCCCAAGGAGAGGAACACGTTATTGTTACCACTTTTATTTATATTCTTTTATTAATCTCTCGGCCTGCCGCCAGGTCTTTCTCTTTCCTCTTCAGGAGTCTGCCATGTTAACTAAGCAGCAGTTTTCTTGACAAAGTGCATGGCGTGACCAGCTGCTAAGGCATGCTTTATCGATTGCTGCTGTTTTTTATAAATTCAGTTCACTTCTACTGCTCCTGGCATTTAGCTGTAACTTGGATGTTTCATTTGTGAGGCAAAACCTGAGGTTCATAAAAGCAAATCTTACTGTACAGTTACTGGCTACTTTCTACAAGTTTATTACTCCAGAGCTCCAGTGGAGGGAAACTGCTTTATCAGATGCATTGAAAAAAAAATAGAGGCAAGAGGTTAATTATGTTGAATTGCTTTTTCAAGTAGAATTTAACTTCATTGGGAGAGAGATGTTTCAGTCAATGTTGTGAGTATTGAGCCAAGGCAGAGTCTGGGCAGCCAGGCACGCTGACCAATGAGTGCACTAAAAAACCCGATAAACTTGATCTTAACTTGGCGATCACAAAGGAAACTGAGAAATCATTAAATCCGGGAATGGGACCTAATGGAGGTCGATGGGAGAACAACTGTGGATGTTTAATGAGCAGCACTGCACCGTGTTCTCATCTCTTCGGAAATAAATGGTGAGATACTCGAATTTCTCTTTGAACAACAATAAATGTAGAATGTGAAAATAGCATGGGGGAAGAAAAGACTCCTTTGGGCCGTCCTCTCAGTAAGTGATTTCTACAAGCTTTAATTAATTATCGGAGTTACTTGTGAAACAGGCTTATGCGAAGCTATGGCACCATAAAATGTCTGTTGAACAGTTAGCCCCAAACCGACTCTAGATTACCTTGAAATTCTAGGAGTTCGTTACCCAGAATTATTGAAAAATTGCCAGTGTAATTTCATTCTGCTGAAGAACGCGGGATGAATTCCTCATGCAAACAGCTACACGACAGCAATCTTTGTTAGGAACAATGCCTCATACTCTCGCTGTGACACTCACTAACTTGCAGGCCGTTTGTACGTAGGAACCAGCTCGTTCTTGCTGCACTTCTGATCACGTATTTGAAAGGAAAAGCAAAATCAACAGGTCTGCAACAGGGAGGAGTGTTGGAAAGGAGAGGCGGGAGGTGAACTCTGGAACTTGGAGCTACTTCAGTCCGTTTATCCCGTAGGAATCCTCCTGGCACCGGTGGACCCTCAGCCTGGTGAGGAGAGCAGGGGCGGTGGGGAAGCGGTGGAGACATCGGGGCAGGTACATCACCCAGCTTCTGCATCCAGCTTGGCTGGGGAACGGGGCTCCCTTAATTCCTTCTGTCTGCAACAGGAAAAGAGACCAGCTGCAGCTTTAGGCAACTCAAGTTGCCCATATTATTTTGGAACATCCTATCCATCCTGACAGTTACCTTGGACTGGTCTTTCGTGAGGGACTGGAGATGGCTGCGTGTCGTGGGAGGGTATTGAGGAGTAACACCCACAGCAGCTCCTCAGAACACGGCTGTGTCTCACCAATCTCAGGTGGAAGCTTTGCATGTTGAATGGTCTGCGGCAGGTTTTATTTCTTGGTTGGGTTCTTTAAACCTTTTTTCCTAACCTCCAAGGTGTCTTTTGGGCTATATCGTTCACATTTCTTCCTTGGCTTTATGGCAGTTCACATGAATTGATTCTTCTATGCTCGATGTCCAAGCAGGGGGGTTGGGACTGGATGATCTTTACCATCTCTTCCAGCCCAAATTCTACGATTCTATGATGATCTCTGCAGAATGGCAGCTGTGGAGACAACCAGGCTTTTAAAAGGTGCAGAGCTTTAGTTCTCTCCTAGAGAAATCCAAATTTAGATGGTTATCTACAAACAAAAAAAGTGAACAGAAGAGGTGTGGTGTCTTCAGGAGACTGTGATGGGAACTTCTTTTGATCAATATGACTATAATTAAGATCCAAGAAAACTTAATTTTTAGAGAAATCTTTGTGGTTGTAATTCCTTTCCCCTCTTCCCTGCCCGTGGGTAAAGGAAGGGAAGCTGGGAAGCGATGAGTGCTGAAAGGCCATCAGGTGCTTTCTGCCTGTCAGCCACATCTGAGCCCCACTCCCATTTCTTTGGGTGCAGCAGATGGCAGAGTTCCCGCGGAGTTCACAGGGCCCAGGACTTTCATAGAATTGCTCATGTTTTACACTGGGTGAGGCGCCTGGAACTCTCCCCTTGAACACCACTGGGCACTGAGACTTTCCAGAGCAACAGGACTGGAAAAGAAATATTTTCCTAAAGCATCTCTGGAGGTGTCAGTGTCTGGTCAATGATTTATTGCTGACTGTTCAGCTCCAGGCGGTTATTCCTCGTTTTTGTTAACTTCCAACTTGTGTCTGACACATGGGTCAGTTTTTCCAGCACAGCCATAACGCGGTGATGGCCGGGAAGTGAGGGAGTAACAACCCCATCAGGTTGCAAGTAATCATCTGTTAGTTTCTCCAAAGCTTTTCTACTTTTAGGAGAGCGTCGCACATTTGTGGTGCGAGTGATTTATATACTTCCACGCTCAACAGAAAATGATAGTCTAGAAACGTGAGGTGTCCTTGCTAATATGAATAGAATTCTGCTCCCGTCTTAAGCTTTATTACTGTGCATATTTGGGCTCTTTTCTCACAGTGACTGTGCTCTCTGGAGTCAGATGAAGACTGCAGGAGACACGAGTGGTCTCCATCAGCTTTGCAGTCATGGCTGCCTTTGCTAATAGATGGGAAAAAACTGTCTTCAAGGGAAGTGCATAATTTGACACTCGGTCCTGGGCTGTCCTTAGGACAGAGCTGAGCCTTTCCTAGCATCCCTGAGGCTGTCCCACAGCCCTGCATCAGGTGGCGCTCCCAAAAACCAGTCCCTGAGCTGGGCTTTGCTGCACCAGCAAGTCAGAGCACAGTGCTCAGTCCTGCAGGCATGTGCTGGCCCTGATGTGAACTGGAATACGTGCATGTTGACTGGATTAGTCATTGTCTATTAATATCGGGCGTGTTGCCAACAGTTCAATAACTGCTTGATCAAACTAGGCGTTTTTAAGACAAAATAAAGCCTTTGAATAATATCACTATATATATATTTAGTATTCTTGTCTAGGAGGCTTACGTTCCATTAGCAGAAGAAACGGTTTTTGAGTATTCCCGGTTCCCTGTGAGGAAATAAATTATTGCTAATTCCTAGTCAGTTATCTTGCCTGTGGTACCGGTCCCCAAAAAGTGTACTTGCTTTTTTTCTTGCACAAGAGCCACAGCTTGCCCGAGGAGGGTATTTTGATGGGGCTCCCTGAGGGAAGAAATGCTGTCAGTACAGTTCCAGGAAGCAATAAGCACCTTCATGAAAATAACTCAAGTCCCCATCCTTAATCCCTGCCTATCCTTTTTTATCTGATGGACTCAGCGAGGGCTGGAAGATCACAGTGTGGCTGAAAACAAAAGGGAGTTAACAAGATGTGACCAGTCAATGGATAAAACAATAGGCGACCGCCCCGCCGCGGTGCAGAGCCGGGCGCCCTCCCGGTGCGGAGGTAGCCATGGGGGTGCTGGGGGCTCTGCTCTGGTGCCTGGCGCTCGGGGGGCTGCCGCGGGCCGGCGGCTCGTGCCCATCGCAGTGCAGCTGCGCCTTCCACAGCCTCGGCGAGGGGACGAGAGCCAGGTATGCCAATCCTCCCGGGGGTGCTGCTCCTTCTCGGGGTGTCGGGGGGTTAATTCTTCTCTGTAAGGATGCTCGGAGGAGAAAATATTGCGTCCGGACTTTGTGTCCATTATTTTTCCCATCGCGTTGCGCTCTAGCTTTATTTGCAGAGGATTAGCTTCTGAAAACACAGTAAGCTGATTTCAGAGAAAACGTTTGGGCATCTCCACTCCGAGAACAGAAGTGTCATAATTACTGCCAGTGCAATGGCAAAAGGGGAATAAAATTTAAATGTTGTCTTTCTTTGCCTTTATGCTGAAAACAGTAATTTTCAAAGACACTGTTCTGCTCTGCTGATTTCTTTCTAAAGTGTAACTAGATTTGGTTTAGTGCCGTCGTACCAAAACCTGCCATTCCATTTACTTACAGAATCCCTCAGTTGGAGATCTTAGGCAAAGTGATAGACTCTAGGTGAGAATGAACCGAAAAATAGATAATAATAATAACAACAACAGCAATACTACTAATAATAATACTAATAATATAATTCTTGGACTGGAAGCTTTCAGTGAAAACAGAAGACAAGAGCAGCAAGCCCTCTATTTTTGAATGCAACACCATTGTGCCGGCATTGCTCTGGGGGATTGGAGTAGGAAAGTCTTTCTGAAGGGTAATGACAGAGTAATGGTCTGACTTAATGAAACACAGGCTACATTTTTATGAGGTGTGGTTCACGGTAGAGGAGATTTTGTGACAGAGATGCAGTACTTGCAAAATCCTGTGGAAGAAATTATTTTTTTTGGCAAGACCTCAGTACTGAAATGAAAGGCTGTCCCCTATCTTTTGGGTCCCCATGAAACAGATCCGCTCTCTTATCTTTTTTTTACAAATCTATAGATTTAACGCCAGATTTAATACCGGAAACTTCCCCAGTAAGAAGCGTGGTAGAGACACAAGTCGTCTGCAACTGTTAAAAGGGAATGCAAGAGCAGAGAGCCAATTATCGCTCCATAAATGTCGCAGTTCCCGGGGGAATTTCCCCTTAGTGACTGGGAAAAGCTGTAGTGTGTTGTGGTAAGATACATAATAAAGCAAATATCCGCTAGTCCCTTAAGGAGAATAATTTTTCCCCTGCATTATGGTTCATATTTCTCACTAGTCGAAGGAGATTATCCCGTAGATTAAATGTTTAGTGTTCGCTGGCAGTCTGGGGACACTACGAGCAGCATCTGCTGCTCCGCTTCCATCGTGGCTCTGAGCGAGCGGTTTGTGTCATGCCAAAAAAAAAAAAAAAAAAAAAAAAAAAAGAAGTTTTATTGAAAGAAGATTTCTGGATTCTTCTTATTTGGTAGATTTTTCTCTTCCTCAGAATCTCAACCTTCAGCCGAGGGTGTCAGGATTTAATGCCACAACAGAAGTGTTGGATGAGAGTAATGTTCTGTGCTTTGATTATAAATTAAGAATTTAACTGTAGGCTCAAATAAGATTTAACTCCGGGAAACCTGCATGAGCAGTTCAGTGATGTTATTTGTTTTTGTTGATAGTAGAGGAATAATTGCTTTCAGCCAAAACCAATCTGGTTTTGGCAGCTTTGTAATATTCCGCCAGGCAGCGTGATAAGAAAACGCTGCTTGACTGATCACATTGCATTCCTTGTGGTATCTTGTTCAGCATGTGGAGTGGGACATGCCTATCTAACTCGTTACCTCTTGCAAGGTGAGCTTTGTGTTTTGTGGAGGACTTGCCTTTCTCTCCTTGCTGACAGGCAAATTAAAGTGCAGTCTGAGAGACCCATTTTGTCTCCCTTCATTCCTCACGGCAGAGACAATTTTTTTGCGCGAAGGCTGTGGAAATGCAGCCGCAGGGTCTTAATGATTTGACCTCTAGAGGTTACAAATGGGAAGGAACAATTTAAGACACATAAATCTGCCTGGCTCTTAGTGTAGCATTTTCCAAAGAGTTAATTTTCTGCACTTTCGCTCTTATAACTGTAGGTGCCTGCAGTGCAGTGACGGCTCCCGTTTGTACACGCCTTCCAGGCCGTTTCGTAGGAAAGCAGAGCTTGCTGTACTGTATTTCCAGTGAGTTGTCAGCTGACTTTCTTATCCCTGTTTCATAAACCAAAGATCCTGTGCTGTATTTAATCTATATTACTTCCTGCCATCCCACACGTCAGTAAGGCTTTATTTCATATGTCTTTTACTGTTCAATTTACGGATCCTTTCGTTTTAACGTGCACTAGGATCCTCCGTTGTGCATAAACGTTGTCACTGCTGTCTATCATAAGTACTCTAAAAAAAATCGGAAGGATTAAAAAAAAAAAAAAAAAAAAAAAAAAGACAGAAACACAAATATGATTAG